TTTTTATTAATACTTATATTAGATATATATTTTATACAGATATATCTATATTGAACTATCAGACAAGTATACAACTAGCTACATATGTAACTTTTCTATATTACCTATTTAAGAAGTCTGCCTGAAGGTTTTTTACCAATTATCATATCTAACACTCCTGATTAGATGTTCTATTTAAACCCTCTGATTTGGTTCTAGTATTAATTTTACCAGATTACAGACTTAGATCTATTCACTTTTAACTATAGGACTATAATCTTTAGACTATTTTTATTCTTAAGACAAACCTACCAGAGCAAGCTATATTCTCTTTTACTACTAATCTGATTTGACACTATAGTTGAGACTAATACTTGCAGTCAGAGTTACTTATTAAATTGCTATTATCTTTGTAAAGTTTATCTAAACTCTAGCACTTATCTTTTTGACATCTTTTTTATCATCTTTTACTAGCTGCAACTTGGAGCCAACTAACTTTTCAAACTTCTAATTCAGATAACCTAGTATAGTATACTTATATATTCTTTTTCTCTGGCAATTCTGGTGGCCTGGTTGGTCATATGCTTCTCTATATACCTTGTTATTCAGTTTATCTGATAGTTCTTATAAAGATGTCTCATAAGTTTTTATTAATCCAATAGTATTATTAAAAGTTTGTGCTATCTCTTTACTTGAGATTTTCAAGTAAGTTTCTGTCTTCTTAGTTTTTTAGACTTCTATACCCAATGAACTTATTACAGATTTGTATTGAAGCCTTATATAACACCAGTTTTTTATATTATTCTATATGTATATAATGTTATATTTTACATAAATGCCAGAGCTTCCAATGTCAGTTGGGACCTAACTTAGTGTACCTAAGATTACAGATGCCCAAAACCTATCTGATTAGCAAAAGACAGTTACTATAATATAAGTATAATTTCCAAAATTGTTATTTATAGAAATTGAATCTTAGATCTGCTATTTGAAGGTTGACAACCTATTCACTTTACTAGGTTATTATACTACTTATTATATTAGATTATATAATATAAGTTAACTAAAAAAAAAGCTAAAAAGAAATATTATCAAGTAAATAAATTTGAAAACTTTATATGAACTTCAAGTTTAAATGAGTTGAATGATTTTTTTGAAAACAACAAAAATAATTTGAACTCATTACAAATTGAGAAGTTTCAAAACCTTTTAACCAGTTTTAATAAATTTTTTAAAGAGAAACCAATTTTATTTCTTAACAATTTTAATTATATATAGACCTTTTCTTTAGCTTTATTAAAAAGTACAAACATAATTTATACTATTGTTAGTTTTCATGAAAGTTCTATGTTTTCAAACATTATGGTTAATGCTATAAAAATGATGAAAAAATAAATTAATATAGCTTGATATATATCAAATAGTGCTCAATTTAAATTTTTTTATTAAAATTTGTTTAACAATAATAAATTATAATTATAAACAAATAATATTTTAAAGATAAATTAATAACATAAATATTATTTTAAGATAATTCTTATACTTAAATTTTATCAAACAGACCAAGAGTCACTAGAGTTCATCTTAGTTCATTGATATAAAGAAGTTGGTAAATTATAGGAATGCTCTAAATTGAAATTACTTAAATACTATAGTTGTATACTATTAGATAGTATTAATAGAACAGTTTATATAGTCTTAAGATTTAATAAAATAAATAAATATTTATTAAATAGTTTTATTTTCTAATTTAAAGTATATTAATATTTAAAGTATATATTATATATATTATATTTAAATAGATAATAATAAGTTTATATATGTATTAATTTAAATAAAATTGAAGATAATTAATTTTTTGTTAATAACAATAAGTATTGATTTATATAATTTTAAAAATAATCAAAATTTTATAAATAATAATAAGTATTAATTTTTTTTTTTTGAATTTTGATGACAATGCCAGTTGGTTTTTATTAGCTTTAATTTGATATAGTACAATTTACAGTTACATTTTTTAGGATCAGTTATTACTAGTATTATATACTATCTAATTTTACACTACTGACTTTATCTAGTTACTTATATGGCACCTAAGTGCATGTCTGCTGCATGTCTACATGCAGTTATTTTAACAACCACTTGTGGTCAGGGTATATCATTAAACTGCTACACAAACAAGAATACCTACTGAACTTAATACAGTATCCCAAATGCCAAAAGTACTGTCTTCTGTAAATCATATCTATATGTCTCATTCATATGTTTACCTGGTCTTGTTTCTTCTGCCTCTTAATTTAACTATATCTAGTATTATCTTGTTTTCCACATTTCTCACCTTTTTGTTATTGTATCACTCCCAAATTGGTCCTATTCAGGTATGTTTAATTCTTATGATCTTCTTATCTTTGGTATGCCTGTTATTAATTTTTCTAAGGTTTTCTGATAATGGTTCAAGATCTGCAAAGAACCCATATCTCAAGCCAGATCTGCTACTGGCATTGGTCTTTTTGACCAATCCATATCTCAAGCCAGGTTTGCTGCTACCATTCCTGCAGATGCCTCAGATTTTAAAATTATATAGTAACTTAATGCTGCATTTAATCTCTAATATAGTGCTTCTTTCTATAGTAAGGACTGAGACTTGTTGTGCTTACAAACAGGACAATTCTGGTTATATTTAGAGAGTTTCACTGACCCCAGTGATACTATACTACTATATATTACAAGCTCTTAGCTTATTTAATAATATCTACAAGACAATTCTGGTTATGTCTCAGGAAATTACATTGACCCAAGTGATGCTATACTATCTTGCAGATCTTAGCTCACATTGGTTAGTTGATCTCAGTCTTGTTTGTTATAGACTTTCATATAAGTATGACCAGAAACCCGATTTGGTACTTTTACATCGTACAAGGAAGTTATACATCAACTTCCAAGATTTTTTTCTTCTATAATTAGATTATTTGGCTATATCAGAGATGCTTCCAATTTTTGGTTAGACCAATTCTTTATCATAATCCATTCTTATGTTCACTGCTTCTTTCACTATTCCAGTCTTGGTTACTTTCAGAATACTTTTCCAATCAAATCTTTTTTTTGAATCTTAATTAAAACTTATTTGTACAATTCATTAATTATCCTTTCAAGCAAGTACTCCACAAGTTGAGTACAGAGATGTTGGTACTGCCTATATTAGGAGGTATAAGGATGTTAGTGCTGCCCTAGTCTAAAGGACTTACATATGCAATCTTTTCATAACTGTAACCTTCTGTAACAACCACTTGTTACACATAGTGCTTGCACTTCACGATTGGGTCTTCTTCTAGAAATTTCTATTTCTATCATTGTATTGCACTTGAACTTAATCACAGGGCTTTGTATTCAATTACAGGCTTCTTATTAGATTACAGAAGTTAAAATCTTTTAATTTTGCCTCCAGCTGAACTTGAACTGTTAACCTTGACTGTAAAGAATAGGGAACTTAACTGCTAAGCTATAGGACCCACACCCCATAAGTATTGATTTAAATAATTTTGAAGATAATTTTTTATAAATAATAATATGTATCAATTTAAATAATATAGTTAATAATTAATTTTTTGTTAATATTAATATATCCATCTATCAATTTATATTGATTTATAACTAATCTGTTAATATATATTAATATATTTTAATTAATATATATTGATTATTTAATATATATCAATTAGTATTTATTCAAAAAATTTTTTGATACTATAAAATATAAATTAGTGTTATATTATCTTTAATAAATATTAGTAAACTGATAATTTTATAGATGAATTATTAATACTATTGATTAACTGATTAATAACTATTAATCAATTGATTAATAGCATTATTAATTTATTTATAAAGCTATTAAATTGCTAATATTTATTAAAAATGATATGTTACTAATTTATATCCTATAGGTTCTAATTTAAGCCAAATTTTAACTAATATTAAACTAATATTAGGTTTAAAAAAATACTAATATAACATTAAAATTTCTTTATTCATTTGTAATACTTATATAAAATAATAATCAATTACATTTACATCCTAATATATGGTTACCAATTAAATAAATTATAAAAAAATCAATATATAGAGGTAAGTTAATAAAAAAGAATCAAATTTTTTCAACTAAAAATTTTCTTGACTTTGAACTTAAATATCTTAACAACTATTTTTATTAAATTTAATAAATTTTTTTATTTTAATTTTATATAATTTTAAAATTAAATTTTTTAACAAATTTGATTAAATAGTTGTTATTTAAATTTAAAAATTAAAAAAATTTTACTAAAAATAATTTCTTTTTTATTGACTCTTTATATAATCAATACTCTGAATTAATTATAATACATTTTATAATTATATTCTAACTTTACAAATCTAAATAAATCTTAACCACCTTAATTAATTTAAATTACAAATAAAGTTGTTTAAACTTTAATTCTTGCATATAATTTTTATTTTATATTTTACAATCTTAGTATATCTTAATATATAATATATTAATATGTACTACTAAAATTACCAATAAAAATATAAACAAACCTCACCTTAACACCAATAAAAAAAAAAATTTAAAACTTGTAATTGTTAAATAACTAACTCTAAAACTTTAAAAAACAATCGATTAACAATTTTCTAAAAAGCTATATTGAGCTCATTTTTATTACCTTCCTTACCTTTAAACTAATTTTTTTCATTTTTTGTTCTATATCAAAACATTTAATTTTAAATTGGCTGGTTAAGTTGAAAAAGTTCTTCAACTCAAAGTTTATAGTAAATTCATATGTTTTTACTATAATTTTATTATAAACAACACTCTAGAGGTGATGTCCTATACCTAATATAGTAAAAATTCGTTGATTAAAGATAAAGAAAAACAATCATGTAGACTAGTATGAATTATCAATATCCGCTATAAATACAACCAAAAAATATAATCTGGCAACAATTTACAGTAAGCAATACTAACTATAAATCGCTAATACTGTCTATTTCTTTTTCACGACTAAAAATATAAATTATAATTGTATTAGAATTATTCATTTCAAAAGAAAAGTGCAATTACAATCAAAAAATACCTTGAATAACATCTTCATATTCCATAACATGTGATAACCCAACCCTTTGCGGGTTATGTTTTGTTGATGTGCCCTAATAGTCAAATTTTAATATTACTTAGAAATGGCTTTTTAAACCGAACTATAAATTAAAAATTTACCCAAACAAGAGCATATCGAAACTCTTCAACTAAAGATCGATGGATAGCATGACACTATGATTATGACGTATTTGAGTTATTAGAATATAATTAGGTATGGTGCTATAAAAGATATTAACAAAAATTACCACATGCTCAACAGTGGCACCTTTCCTAACAATAAGCCCACCTTCAAAATCAGGATATTCTAAAATATAAAATTAGTAATTTGGTGGTGTACTTTGAGTAAATGGACAGCCAAAAACACCATACCTCCTCGTTTCTTTGTATATATTCTTAACAAACTAAGATACTTCCAGATTTGTTCAACAAGATAATCAAGGTTTAAGTCCATCTCACAACTAAGATAATTGCTCATCAACAAATTTTCTGACATTGTTCAATTCTCAAAAGAAACTAAATTAGTTACCTAATAACAATAGTATTTGGTTCACGTGCCAAACGATCCAATTCTTCCAAAGTTATTGAGTCGATCTTGTTATAGCACTAGGAAGCAATGAATATTAAAAATATAAAGATTATATACGTATATTTTTGCATTCGTAAATAAAGGGCAAACTTACATAAAGGCATTTAATGTATTTACGGTTACCCAACACAACATCGATAAATTCATCAACAGTAACATCTTCACGAACCAGTACTTCAGCATTGAAAATCTCTTCAAAAAAAAAAATTTTCAAAAAAAAATAAAATGTAATATAATATCATATCATAAATGTTCTAATTTCTCTATTACTATATGAGTGAAGAAAAGGGAAAACCTGTAAATTATTTCATTCATTGAGTGAGATGATTTACAGGTTTTCCCTTTTCGTCACTTATATATAATCGAAGGATACTATAATCGTGCAAAATATTATACACCATTTTTTCATTCAAATATGTCAATTTAACAGTAGCGTTGAAGCCGATTCCACCGCCTTTCTTAACCTAGATATATTATATGAATAAGTATAATCCGGACCACTGTGATAAAAAGATGACTCCTTCCTACTTTAAAATATATGTTAGGTTTTTCTGTATTCAATCGAATCCCAACGATTTCCAATTCACGTTCTAATAATATACTATTAGTAAATTTATCGGCCGTTACAAATCGAACATTGCTCAAAACAGAGAACAGCGAGTCAGAGGAATAACATATTATTGCATTACCGTTGTTGATTACTTTTTGTTGCATCTAGCATCATTAAAATTAAGTCTGCTGTTCTTGCGACAGAAATAACCTGCCTTCCTCTTCCTTTCCCTATAGTACAAAACTTTGTTTAAGAATAATGTTCAGTATCCAAAAGAAAAAAGTATTTTACCTTGAGCAGCTCCTTCAATAATACCAGGCAAATCCAATAATTGAATATTCGCTCCATTATATTCGATTTTTCCTTTAAAAATAAATGGACTATGGTCATCATTTTCACTATTTAAACATGTCAATTTCTGTGATGAGCATTAGCATTATAAATACCAGGTATACAGGTTAATGTAGTAAATTCATATGCGCCAGCCTCAGAATGAGTCTTTGTAAGTTTATTTAATAATGTTGATTTACCCACTGAAGGAAATCCAATCAATGCAACTCTTGCATCTCCAGATTTCATAACATCAAAACCGTCACCCTAAATACATACACTACATAAATATTTCGCTCCTTGGGTCCAACACTTAAATTAGAACACGACTTTATTATACCTTTGCCCCACCAGACTTTGAAGGCTCTAAAAGTTGTAGCCTGTATTTTGCTAGTTTTGCCTTCAGTAAGCCAAGGTGATACTCGGTTGCTAATAATAATTGTAACACGTTAATGTTGTATACTTAACTACATGCCATTATAAATTTAGTGTAGTAACCTTTATTTTTCTGTGTTCTAGATATTTCTTTCTCAATTTCTGAAATTTTTTCGAGAATACCCATTTTCTAAGAGACATTAGTTTTGTTTAGCGATCTATGGTAGAGGCCTGCATAGGGCAAAAAATTTTTAAACCTAAGTGTGATTGACCAATTAGGCTACAAGATCAGGTGTAACGTGAAATCAAAACAAAAACTATCATTTTCTAAAGGAAACCGCTGTAACTCAAAACTTCGTCTATGTAACCATCTTCTGCGCATTAGTAAAAAAAATTCCTTGCAAAATTTTAATATAAAACAAGTATCGTTATAATTATAAACTTGACCCTAATGTACCGTTTTATGACTTTAAAAAAAATGTCGATCAGTGAAATTCTGTCGGTAATTTCCTAATCTATGGACACTAATTCACGTAGTAAGAACTCCATTTAAGGGTGAATTTATTTGTCCAACCAGATTTCACGATTCAAAATTTAGAATCAAATTTATTCTTATGAAACTAACTTTCATGTCTTATTTCTTACATAATTTTACCCTATAAGTAACAAAAAGGAAAAACCCATAGGTTTTCTCTTTCTATTACTCGTATATTAAGTAAAAGTACCTTAGTGGCACTGACAGATTTTTACTAATCGACAGTGATTGATCAATTAGATTACAAGATTAGGTGTAATATAAAATTAAAAAACTAAAAACCAAAATTTTGTTATACAAATTTAATAAATTGGGTTTTTATAATATAAAATTTTTAAAGTAACCCAACAATCTGACTTTTAATTTTATTTTTAACAAATTGTATACCATATAAGTGTGAAATAATGTGCAGAAATGTTATTTTGAATAATGGTCTGAATTAGGTTTAATTTAGATCAAATTTCAAAATACATCCTTACATGCTTATACAGTATATAAAAAACATATAAATTTTTTTATAAATTTTTTTAAAAAACTTATCTGAATAGTAAATATACTTGAAATTTTTTTTTTAGAGTTTTATAAATTCTAACTTAAAATAATTAAAAATGCAATCTAGGGATATACTGAATTAGGAAATCATATTTTAGAATAATCTATGATCGAATTCTTGAATTTGATTGGTCTTTACATACCTTATACTACTTATAAAAGTCATTAAAATCATATATTAAAAATTTTTTTTTTTATAGTAATTAACCACTAACAGATCTTCAAATATATATATTAAGACATTTAGTTTAAGTAATCAATAATAATCAATTCTAATTAGCTCTTATCAAAAAAGTAAATAAGAGTCAAAATTTGAGTTTTTATTCAAAGCATAGAGTTTGATCTTTCTAATATGAGTTTATATTTTAAATATTTTTTATAGTAATGATTTCTTAAAAACAGGCAGCAGAAGAACTCAAATGTATTTTTGCAAATTTAGTCAATAACTATAATAATATTGGTTTGAAATCTATAATCCAAACTCACAAAGCTAATGACATGTTGATGGTTCAAAGTCAGTTATACGACTTGCTCTTTTTCATTCCTATATATTAGAACTTGTAAATCTTTCTTTAATTTTACATTCTCTTTGTTCAAAGCATTATATGCAAATTGTTATTAATAATCATTTTTATGAGCTTCTTAGTGGTTCGTATCATGAGAATCAAGAAAGTGATAAAAACCAAGAAGAAAATCAAAAAAATAAAAAGGTTTAGTTTGATACTAATCAAGACTATCTAACTGTTAACTATGCCAATCAGATGTTTGAACTTGATAAAACTAAGGAATTTTTAGAGTTTTCTTAGCTGAAAAATAAGCAAAAATCTTAATTAATTGTAAAACTCAATGCTAAAATTGAACAAATATAGCAGTATTTAGAAAATCAAAAAAAAAAGTAAAAGAATTGAAAAAGTTGTTACAAAGTGCCTATGATAATATAAATATAATCCAAAATTTATATAAAGAGCAATATAAAGACAATGAAATTCTTATTAAGCAGTGGAATTCAAGGTTTTTTAATCAACAAAAATAAATCAATTCAGTTATTAAAATAGCAAAAGCTGAATGCAGGATGTTTCTTGATGATATTAGTAAGTTATTACTCTAAGTTTTAATTATTGCATATTGTATCTTTAATATTTATACATATCTTCTAGATTTATTAATTTAGAATAGCAATAGATTTATTTTAGAATGTTTAATGATATATAATCTGTGTAAATAGCTTAGTAGTTAAAATCAAGTAGTGGTTAAGTTTGTTAATACTTTGGTTCAGAACAATTAAGTCACTGAGACTTCAAGTCAAAAAAAGCTTTTTAAAACTGTTGTTGTAATTAATTCAATATATGAGACTCAACATAAGAAATATATGTCTAAAATCTAACTTGTTATCTTAGCTATCAAATATTCAGTTGTGTGATCAAAGATGGTTATTAATATTGACAACTATATTACAAGTTCTGGAAGTTATTATAGATTCCAAAAATGGCTTGAAGAACTTTCAAAGTAAGAAGAATTATTGCTCGAAGGTCTTTTATTTCTCACATTTGATAATAAATAAAAAAAACAGAAAAATTATCTTGATCAAAGATTTAACATAGTTATTTATTATGTTATTACTAGTTTTATTATTTTTAATATGACATTACAAAATAATTTCAATATATTAACTCATCTTAAGCATGTAATTTTCTTAGCAGGTCTTAATACAAAGAAATTTTTGATATAAGTTCACAAATACAAAAAATCATTAATGAAGAATTATATACTTATTTGACCAAAATTCTTTCATTATTATCTGAAGAAAAGTCTTCTGCTAACATTATCAATTCTCTTGCAGCATCTATATTGACTAATACTAATAAGATCAAATTTTGTTCTAGCTGCAGACTTCAAAATATTAAGAATCGAAAAAAAAATTGTTCAAATTGTGGAATACAACTACCAACATTGGCCAAAATATAAAAAAAAAGATAGTTAAAATTAAAAATAATATAAATGAAAAATTGGCTAATTCTCTTATTTTTAAACCATATAGAATTGATGATGAGCAAGATACTATGTGCACACCTATCAGTCTTACTTAATGAATTAGTAATCAAGAAGTTAATATTTCTGAAATCTATATTCTTGATCCAATTAACCTTAATCCTAATTCAGTCACAAATGTTAAGCAAGTTCTTTCATATATAGAGAAAATATCAGATATTACAGATAAAATTCATAAATAGATAGTTGTAATATATGACAATGTTCTATACTGCTATGCTACCAAGTTAAAGGAAAAGTTTTTTGGTTGGTTCTAATACCTAGGCAATTATACAAAGAGATGAATATGCTTTATGTATATGTAGAGTTGAACTAATAAATTATTTACAATTAGCATGTTGGTTATAATTGGAGTGTCTTTTGTTACTTTTTACTTTATTTTTTTTTAGAATTTATTTTTTTTAGAATTTATTTTTATAATTATTACAATTTTAATTAGAGAAATAGATCTAAGGTGATTCGTGATATGCCAAGTTTATTAAAATGAAAATCAACTTACATATTTTAAAAAATGTATGATTATTATAAGTCTTAAGATTCTATTTGTGTTATATACTGTAAAGCAATAGCTATAGAATTTTTGTGGCCATATGTAAAAAATTATTCAAACCTATCAGTTGAAGGATATCTTGCTTGAATTAAAGAACAGCAAGATCCACTTTATCATATAAAATATGAACAGATCAATGATTATTTTATTCTTTTATAATAATTAATTGTTAACAGAATTTTCTTATTATAATAATAAACATTCATATATCTTTAAACAATTGTTAATTATAGAAAGACTGTAAGAATTAATGACCCATTATTAAAAAGGGTTGCAAAAAGAGCATTTTTACTTATTTGGTCTGCAAGACATTATCTAATGTTAACCTGTAGTTTTTCCTTTAACTACAGTGATATCAGAAGCTGCTCAACTATAGTATGATGACTATAACTTGAC